AAAAAGGTCCTTGTTCTTAATGTGCTCTCCGTTTAACAGTTCTTGAAAAGTCACCATTGATTCTTTGAAACGATTCGTTTTTGGATCCTCCCAACAATATTCATCAAATTCTGCTAACGAAATAACATAACAGAGAGCGTGACAGCTTTTGAGGACTGCAGGCCACTTTTTTCTTTCACTTCTATTTCCTCCAACATCGAGCAATACAAAGGGAATGTCATTGTACTTGTATTGCCTACGTACAACACCAGTAGTTTTTTGGACAAATTTCACATAATCTTCCTCGGTAGGTGTGTAGCAGTCAGCTGTCAATCTAGCAAATTCTTGTACATAATATTCAATGCAGTTAGATATTGAAAAATTGAGTTCACTGTACATGTATAAATTGTCCAACACATTCCGCACATTCTCATCCTTCAATAACTCCATCCATGTGCATGGATCTACAATTCGATCTCCTAACATTCTATCACAACTATGTCTTTTTAAAAATGTTTTCATTTTCTGTGTCACATTCCAATCCACAATCACCATGCTCTTCTCTTTTTGTTCTTTTAAAATTCCCTCAAAGAAAACTCTCAAAACTTCTACTAAATTCTGCTGAATGAATAACTTGGAACTTGCCACAGCCTTTGCGCAACATGCTTCTCCAAATATCATTTCACATTGTCGAAACAACGTTGATTTACCACTTCCACAACATCCCAAAAAACAAATCTTTTTCAAAGTTAAAGTCTTTCCATGCACATGCACCACAGCATGATCATCATAATCAATATTTGTTGACATTTTTGGAGAAAAGGTCCATTCGAAGCCCCGATCGGAGACAAACCACTCGGAGATGTCGAAGGAGGTGTTTTTGAAAAGAACGAATTCTTCTTTGCGGGCGAAACACTTTCAGGATTGTGATTGTTGTGTTTTTTGGCTGGAATTGGAATAGATATGGTTGATTGTTCGAGCGTTGTAGAATGATGATGATGAGAAGGAGGTGGTTGTAAATTGTTGGATGATGATGAATAGGAAGAAAACATGAAAGATTCATCGGATTCTTCAAGAGAGCGTCTGCTTTTGAAGGAGGGTAACGGGAGAGAGAATTTACGACCATTGGTGGTGTTTGGATGAGATTGCGGCATTTTTTGTAGGCTTTTTTGGACAATTGTTGGGTTTATGTCAGTTGTCAAAGTGTCAATACATTTCCTTTCAAGGAGAGATTCATGTTGTACATTTTCGTTACTGTAGATGCAGAATCTATTGTTTTCTGTTCGTCGATGTAAGGTCATATCTTGTATGAATCCCAAGAAATAAAATATTTTAACAAAACGCGAAAAAGTTCATTTCTGTCATTCTTCTCAATGTTCGAAAAAACCAAATCTCACCATTTTCCTCCCAACAAGGTCAAATGTTTTACCCAATTATCCAATGTACATTCCTTCTAGATCGCTGAAAATGATTCAAAAGTTAAAAAAGAACCACACACAAAGATCATGAAGCCTATTTTTGAAAACTTCCAATTTTGTTCAATCGATCAACAGAAATACAATTTCAGTACAGAAAAAGATCGAGATTCCTCTATTTTCCCGCATGACACTAACCACAGATGACGTCATCTTCTCAAAAAGATTCGAAAGAAATGGATCCTCGACCAAACATGCATGACCGTCATAGTAATAATTTATTGAACAAGTGACACATGACTCAAGAACGACTTTTTCTACTTGTTGTAAAAGATCATGTCAAGTGAGAAGAGATAATGAAGATCTATTTTGGAGATTGTGGAAGCGCTGTACATTTGACTTCAATTTAAGACACTTGAACAGTACCAACAGTTTGTTGCTACTTTCTTGTATTCACAAAAGAAAATTTCAACTGTCAATGATTCCTCAACAACAACGACATCTTGTCCTCCTCAACAACAATGCTCCACAAGAGGAAGAAGTAAATCCAATGCTAAGGATGTCATCCCTCTGCTTTTCGAAGGATGGTGACGACTTTGGCTCATTCCCATCCAATGAAGTTCCACATCAGACAAGTGGCAGCAGCATGACGAACAGTACGAGTGATCAAACAAATTCCTCCATAAACTTGAGTACACCCATGATGGATCATCCTCTTCTTCATCTTCATCATGGACATGACCATTCACTCTTGCAGTTCAAGCTGAATTGGCTGTTACAACAAAGCGACAAGATTCCTCTCGAAACACTCGTGTCCATCATTCTCAATCAACACTCTCCATGTGTGACCAACGAGAGGATCTCAGCAACCAATACTAGTGCGCTACTGTCTTGTGTTGCAAGTGGTTGTGGTGGTGGTTGTGGTGGTGGTTGTGGTGGTGGTTGTGGTGGTGGACATGAAAAGGACATGCATCGAACGGCGGCTCTTTTCTCCAACAATCCTCCATACCACTCTTCTTTCCTTCAACAACAGGTCCACACAACCAACACCACCACTCAAAACCATCATGTGTCCATCATGAATCCAATCATGAATCCAATCATGAATCCAACCATGAATCCAACCATGAATCCTCATCCTCTCCTAATGAGTTTTCCAACAAGGTTGAACATGACAGAACATGGTCAAACACCCTCTCCTCCTCAACCAATCTATTCGACAAGAATGAATCGACAAGAAGAAGAAGAATGGCCTTCTGTGAGTGATGCCGTGAGGAAGGATGTTCCACCGTCAATAATGATGATGAGGAATGATTATGGAAATGCATTACTACTGCTACTACTACTACTATTACAACAACAACCACTACCAATAACAACGTCATCATCATCATTAGTGACACGAGGAGGTAGCAATCATTCATATCTTTATGCAATCACTCCAACAATGAGTGGTGTTGTAATATCTCAACAAGATCCATGTCTTCCCATACCTTCTCTCTACTCTTCACCACCACCATCACCACTATTTCAAGAACATTGCATTGTGCAACCTTTGAGAGTGGAAAAAGTGGACTCTGAAAAGGTTTCTGACGAGAGGATTCCTCTCTGTGAACCTTCTCCTTCGACCACAACAACAATTCTCGTAAATCAACAATCCATCATGATGAATGAACCAACAAGTCTTGATCACTCTCATGTGGTCACCAAAGTTGGATCAGAGGACAATTCATTCTCCTCATCATGCTTGTCCTCGAAATCATCATCTTCCAAATGCTCATCCAAAACAAACGGTGGGAAAAACATCATTTCCAAACCACACAAAACAAAAAGAAATAATCATTCATCCAAACACACGAATCACCTTCTGGTAAATGCATCTTGCTCTCAAAACAAAGAATTACGTTTGAATCCATTCTGCAATTTCTCAATCGAATCCTTTTCGAATCAAAAACAAGAAAAGAAGAAAAGAGGACGACCAAAAGTAAGAAGAGAGAACAGCGAAAACGAAACCATGACGAAGCAACAACCTCAATCACAAGACACTTCTTCTTCCAATTCACATCAGGCTTCATCTGTCTTTTACACCAAAAGCTCTTTTCGCAATATCAACTTTTGACAATTAATTGACTGTTGTTAAGCTTCACTCTCAATTCCTTTTAAAGACATTTTACAAAAATGTAAATGACAGCAACAGTAAATCCTCCATTCATCTTCGAAAAACAAAATGCCTAAACGTCTATGGTGTGGTGCTTTAGTGTTTGTTTCATTGTGCATGATCTTGTGCTCTTTTTCTGCATTTGCAAAACAGGAAGAATTTTCTTCTTGTCGTTCCCTTGCTCTTGGCTCTGGTGGCGATCGAGGATCTTTTGAGATTGGAGTATTGAAATATTTAGGTTTGTATTAATCAACAAATCATGGAAAGAAATTTTTAATAGGTCTAACAACATCTTTATTGTCACAAATTCATCAACTCAGTCGAAAAGAGACCTCTAGAGGAAACTCAATATCGAGTCGTGACTGGCAATAGTGCAGGTAAGTGAATTAGATGCCTTTACATTGGGTGTTGGAATGACATGCATATTCAACATCGAATAGGAGCCATCAATGCAGTGGCATTTAGTCAATTTCAAATTGGACAAGAAGTGAAAGCAGTGCAGTATCTTCTCAACGAATGGTCCAGTCTAAAATCCGACTTGATTTATCAAAATTGGAAACCATTTGGAATTGTTCAAGGCTTCTTTCTAAAAACTTCCTTATTCGACAGTTCTCCCTTAGAGAGCTATTTGTCAAAACATTTAAATTGGACACAATTACAAAAATCTGATCGATTCTGGAAAGTAGGAGCCACTGATCTTTCAACCTTCTCCTATCGAGAATTCACAAGTGAGAACCATCTGAATTTTGATCAAATCGTAACGGCAGTGAGAGCAAGCTCAGCCATTCCAGGAATATTCTCTGCTGTGAGTATTGACAATTCTTTGTATGTGGATGGCGGAGTGAGATATGTGACACCCATTACAGATGCCATTGAGAAGTGTAAAAACCTCACTTCGGGAAGTGTCGTTGTGGATGTTTTGTTGGCCATTAATTCCGTTCCCTTTCCGAAAGTGTTTGATTTTCATACCACGCCTTTTATTTTGTTGGAAACTATGTTTGGGTCTATGATGGATATTGTATTGAGGGATTTAGAGAGTGCCCGACTTGCCTATAAGGATGATCCTTTGGTGGAGATTAGAGCCTTCATTCCCAATGAGTGGCTTCCAGGTTACTTTATTGGATTTGATAAGCAGCAAATGGAGTATATGATTGAGAAGGGATATGAAACCGCAAAGAAGTTCTTTGAGAAGAAGAATTAAGTGTTAATTGTGTGTTTATTAGACCTCGAATCGCCAACAACAACAACTCTCGGGTTTGGCTCTCTCAATTTAATGATTAAAAATTGCTGCCCGCATATGGCCGAGTGGTTTTTCTGGAACTGTGGCAGCCAACTGGTCCAGCGTTCGAATCCCAGGGGTTGCTGCTGTTATCGTGAGCAGTTTAAACACCTTTACTTCCGGGGTGCCTGCTAGGAAGTCACTACGTATCTTACGTTCGGCTTGTAAATAATGTACATAAAACCATCGAACAACGTTTATCATCGAATAAACTCATCCCTGAATTTTTTTTCTTTCTTCAGAAATTATTCAATTCCACATTAGGCTTTCACATCAACGTTGTAAATTGGAGACCTCAAAAGAAAGGTTTAATTATGTTGCTGGACCACATGTTGACTCGCATAAAAAATTTTCGTTTTTTCTGTCCGTGATGATGAGGTTTTTATATCGATAATAAGGCAAATGTCTCTCTTTTCTCAAAAGTAAAATTGGAAGATTGAAATATAGAGCTTTAATGAGAGTGAAGGACAAATAAAACAACAATGGCGCATATTCGTTCGCTCAAGGAAATACTATTACAAGCACCGACCCATGATGAAGTTCATGAAAAAGAAATTGGAGATAGAATTATTTGGATGCGAGGCCTCTCTCAATATTATTCTCCTTTTTCGGGAGACGAAAATATTATTTAGAGACTTCATTTCATCTGATGAATAGTATCGGAATGGAGATCATTCCATTCATGATGTTATTTATTGAAAAATAATGTCATCCCTTCATTCTACTCCCATGCATTCCAACGAAGATTCAAGAGCATCAAATAACACGTCCTCGTCGAGAAGAAAATTTTCTCTTCCTCTCTTCCGAACCAAACAAGAATGCGAAAAAGAGGCAATGGAATTTGCTTCTCATTACATGATCATTTTCGAAGAGATGATGAACAATGAAGATGCGAGACGAGTGTTCAAACAATTTCTGAAGGAAGAGGCTCATAATGAAGAGCCTCTCAATTTTCTGGAAGACCTCAAAGTTTACGAAAAAGAATTCAAGAAGAGCAATGAATACTTCTTGCAAGATGATTCACAAATTTCTTCGACGACTTTCAAAAGCATCACCAAGTTGTACCACAAGGCCCACAAACTCATTAACAAGTATGTTAATTTCCATGGACAAAGTGAGCTCAATTTGGGTCATTCTCAAAACATTACTTTACGAGATTGGAACAGAATCCAATACTTGATGCAACTTATCACTTCAACGCAAGAAGAAACTTCTGTAGACACGACAGGAAGCCCTCCCACGTCACCAAAAAGCCCACGCACACCAACTTCTCCCACTGCGATATTCTTTCCTGTCTCCCCTGCTTCAACACCATCTGGTACTCACAAAAGTGAACAGAATCAATCCAAAAATCACTCAAAGAGAATTATTTACAATAGAGATTTGGTGAGACAAATGATGGAAGTGCTCGATCCAAAACAACTGTTTGAATCTTGCAAAGTGAATGTGAATTTAGATTTGAAACTCGACCAATTTCCACGATTCACACGATCACAATGTTGCCACTTGTTTCTCTACTTCAATGGAGAGGCATTCGCACGCTCTATTGCTGTAGATATTTCAAAAGGTAGAAATTTGGATGTAAGATTTAGACCAAAGGATTTTGAGACACAATTAGTGACAGATAAGGACATTTATTTTGCGTTTTCAATGTGTGAAGATAGTCCACACTGGGATTTGGTGTATGATAGCAAACAAGTCAAATTGTTTCACTCAAAAGCAAACTTTACATTTCGCAAAGACAGTTCTTCCATGAACCTCTCGAAATCAGTTTTGATTCTTCCATTCCCTGTTGAAAATGTATTTAATGCATTTTGTCATCGAGATTTCAGATTCAAGATAAGTGATCGACTATTACCAGAAAGTTGTTCTCTTGAATATGTCCCTCCTATTAAATCATTTAAAACCAAGGATCCACAGAAGGAATTAGTGATTGACGAAAGAGACGAGCTATACGATAGTGCTTCCCCACCTCTTGGTATTGCATCTGGTTTCTTAGGGTTTGATTTGAAACTTCCTTTAGTTAAGAAAAGAGTTTGTTCTGTCTCTCAAACCTGTATCTACGATACTCATGCAGAGTGCATTGTTAATGTGGGCCATTCAACTTTACCACTTGATCATTCCCAACAATACAAGGATTTTGCAAATGACAAAGTCGTGATCGACCTCCACTTCTGTAGCATGTTTTTCCGAGTGAACATGACTACCACTCGACTCGTTCAAGTGTGTTATGTGGACAGCAAATTTCCACTCAATTCTCAAGCTCTATCACAAAACATCATCACCAAACATGCAAAAACCATATTTGAAAAATTTGAAAGCGCCATGCGCCTCTACAACAAGAGTTGTAACTCCACTCAATCGCCAAATGAACATCACATCAGCTCCTCACTTGCCTCAGATGTGTTCAAAATTCAACAAGCGCTCGATGACAACTCTCGTCTGTACCCCAATCGGTCTTGGTTCAAAGAATACGAGTCGAGAAAGAAACAAACGGTCACACCCTCCAATAACGAGGACAGTGTGGTGTTTCCTAGAGGCCATTCATCACATGGAAAAAGTTCCTACCTGTAAAACTAAAATGTATTTTTACAGCTCGTCTCATACATATTTGTTCTTAACCAAGGAGATAACTAATCTCTGCCTCTGTTGAAGTATGAAATCAGCGAGCTCCATCTCTCACAGATAAGATTTTGATATGTTGCATGTTGACATTCTGTGACACACAATTAGAGTCCAAAGAAAAAACACATCTCAAAGCCGTCAAACAACCATGCGATTGTTTAAATCAGCAGACGCATCGGACAGCAGCAGTAATGAAAGGAAGGGAAGACACTCTCTCATTTCTCGATATATGGTGGTCTTTGATGAAGTCATAAATAACAAAGATGCACGTAATTGTTTTAAGCGATTTTTAAAGGAAGAAACTCATAGCGAAGAAGCGTTGCTGTTTTTGGAAGACATGAAGTCGTATAAAAACGATTACCACAACACAAAAGTAGAATTTGAAAAGGATTCATTCGAAAGGGGAAACAAATCAACCATCAAGATGGTATATAAGCTCTATGATCAAGCAAAGCGAATAGTTTATAACTACATTGACACCATTGGAGTCAAAGAACTCAACTTGGGTCATTTCAAGTCCACCATAACAAAGAATTGGGCCAAAATTGACTATCATTTCAAATCCATGTTTCCAGATCAAATCATTTGTGACACTGCCAGCAATACATCCAATTCCGCCTCAACTTCGAAAAATTTAAACACTGACATTAAGGATGGACTGACACAATTATTTCTCATGTTGGAACCAACGAAGTTGTTTGATTCCTGTGAAGTCAACATTATTTTAGATTTGAAATTGGATCAATTTCCT